AAATAACAACAGATAGATACACTCCCCCCTCACAATAGCAAACAATCCGCCACTTTCAGGCTTTTATTCTCTTAATTTACTAATGTAAAAGATAAAAACAGCATAAACTGGGCTTTAGCGAGCGCCTCGTTGTGAATAAAAGTTCCTCGCGATAGTTATTAATAAGGCACATCGATGGACTGAAAGAACGTTGTGTTGTATCCATTCTTTCTGTTGATTAACCAAATAATCTCCGACTGTGACGACAAAGTTGTGTAATTCAAATCTGCAAGCGACATCCAAAAGGCCAACCCAGTCAACGATCAGACTTGGATCGCAAGTTACTTTTCCTGTGTAAATAAATCTGTAACCAGTTGAGTAAGTAAACCATTGCGAACGATTTTGTCCTGTTTAGAAAAAATTGTACTGTACAAAACGCGCTAACATGCAAAAAACGCGTCTAATATTAAGCTGATAAACGTTTACCTGAGTAAAATTTCAAAGACTTCGGATGTCGCGTCTTCAAAAGTCATAACTGTCCGTTGAAACTCTTCTGTATTTTCAACTATCATCTTTTCAAAATATGTGCTTCTTGTGCGCAATACCACCGCGTGGGCAAAAAAGATTTTATTGGTTGGCTCTCTTCCGACATTGATTGAAACATCTGTATACTTGCTGCTTTCATAAAGCTTTTCATAGTCTGATGAAAGATCTGAAGACAGGTCAACTATATCAACTACGCGAGTCATTTTGAAGTGACAACTTAGCAATCCATTGATAAATCAAAATCGATCAATATGTATACCATTTGACCATTTGTGTAACCTGTTAATGCTGATGTGATGACGTCCGCACTGCAGTCAGGGAGATTTCCAAATTTGATAATAGCAAAAATACATCTAGAAAATTCCGGAATTCGACTGTAAAACATCAGAGAAAACACGTCACTTATTGGCTTAAAATTCAAGTTTTTTATATACCTCGAAAATGTGGTCGTATCAAAGAGTGATTTTGTTTATAGATTTTGATCTTTTTGGTTATTCGCATCTTCAGATATTATCGAAATTGGTTGCCAAGCGCCGAACGATATTTTCTTAATTAGCTTCGCTTTGATAAAGTCTATTCGCTTCATCCGCGCGCAATTCACTAAATCTCATTTAGTGTAAATTCACCATTATATCATAAAAACCACCACGATTAGAAGCGTTGGGTTTACAAACTGTGTCTTCCTTATCGAACCCGAATATGATTCCTTCAGGAAGTTTAGAATATAGCCAAGGCTCCATATTTTGAATTGTTACTCTAATCATAATTAAAAGCGACAAAGTTCGTAACGTTATGGAATACAACCGTATTATATCTACGATCTAAGCAATCTTTTTGTCTTTCTGTTCATTGTCAACGGCTTTAAAGGAAAATACTCTGAAAGACTATCTAGACCAAATCGTTCATGATTTCAATCAAACTTATTACAAGTTACCTTGCTCCCCTTTAGCAATTTCCGTCACAGTCCTAATACGGTCTTGTTGGTCTGCAAATGTTTCATTCAATTGCTACTTCAATACCGCATTCTCAGACAACAATCGCAATCTTCAAGATCGTGTACCCTTTTCAGAAGCACCTCGTACGCTGGATCTGACATGGATATTTGGATTCAGAAAAAGTCTTTCGAAAGACGGGAACCTATTATTGTTAGGGAATCTCGGTCCTTGTCTGTCATTTTCTTCCGAATCTAAAAAGTCCGAATCATCTAGTTTCATGACTCGTTTAATCTAATACTTCTTAACGACAATCTGATTGTAATACTTTTCACATAAAGAGTAACTATCTAGAGAGTCAAGTAATACAAATACTTTAGGAAAATACTTAGCCATTCTATTATACTCTCTGCTGCGTGCCGCCATTTTAGTCTCACATCTTCTTTAACTGACTTTCGTCATATTCAATGGCAAGAGACTCAGGTAACTTTTTGGCAGCGACCTTTGCGTTCATTGCGCAAACTTTAAGCTCAGGTTAATAAAAAACTACTATGTAAAGTTGAGGGAATTCTGGAAAATTTTGAAAGAGTATATTCGTAAAAGTATGTTTTTATCGTTAGTTTCAAATTCGTCATCAAATTCTCTGTGCTAACATGTCGAGCACGAAATGATGGAGAAGGATGAGAATTGCTTAGATTTTACTAGATTAGAATTTTGTATAAGTCATTCAACGCATTCGTATAATGATCACCAGTTTACTAATGATTTCTGTGTCTGTTTACGTCTCTATGTATTTCTTATTCAACCAAAAATCTTAGATCTCACACATGTTCTACCCTCGGCTTTTTTGCGCAGTCTAATTCTCCTTTTCATCTCTCAACTATAAATCTTTTACAATATCTGAATGTACTATTTCTCTGTGAGGTCGATTCGCAAACTGATAAAACAGAGTATTGTGGGTCAAGCAGAGGCTACGTACAGTATATCTTCGAGACTTTGTTGCAGATGTTGCCAACTTGGAGTTGAAATTTGGTTCGATAGAGATGGAAAGCCATCAACATAACAGTAAGAAAGGTCGTGGCAGCAGTGAAGTACAGTCAATCAAAGTGAAGCGTCTGGTAAAGCATCTTCTCGTGCAGCTTGTATTTATATTAAAACAAGGCAAAGTAGAAGACGAAAACGCAGAGAGCAATTTCATGAAAGAGCGTTTGTACAGTGGCCTGCCAAAATTTTACGACCACCCGTGCCGATCATCACATTTATTATGAGTAGAAGCGATTTTCTAT